TGGCAAATACAGTTTTTCATTCAGTTTCACCAAACCAGGAAGAGCTACTGGATCATATCTGCCCGAAAAGATATAAACCGGATCATCTTTTATGTTAGCTAGACTATCGATTTTGCCATCTTTCTCGTAGGATTTCAATTTGCGTTCGAGCACTGGCACTGAAATCGACGTAACCGGACCCGTCATACATGCAGCAGCTGTCAAGATATTGCCAGCACAATAATAAGGTGGACCAGCTAGAACAGCACAGCCGTTGATTTCATTCGAGAATGCGAAGTGCATTTGGGTAGCCATTGCCGCACCGGACGAAGCACCCGACACGGTAATAATTGTTTGTGAAAGATTCGCCTGAACGCATAACACCGCAATTAAAACATCAATAAGAGCGATAGCTTTGCACAAAGTCGACATTCTATTATTCTCTATTCTTCTTTGCTTTCAATTTCGAAATCACCACTAGAATAAATAGGCTCCATCCTATCGAAAAGGATTTGTAATTGGAGACGAAACAAAACAACGTTTTCAATTTAGCTAAGCCACCCTTGTTATTTGAGCTACCTATAGAATAGACTATATGAATGAAATAAGCCTCTGATTCTAATTGCATCTCTCTCGAACAATCAAAACAGATATTTATATTTGACAAGCATTTTTTTGTCCAGCATTTTTTTGTCCAGCATAAACGGTTGAGAGTTTTGGTGTGGGCGTTAGTCTTCTCTTCATCTATACTCACATCCATCAACACCCTCAATCACATCCATACCCATCAACACTCATACTTACACCCATACCCATACCCATACCCACTAACGCCCATACCAACATCCACACACACCCACACCCTTTTGGATAGCCCTAAGTGTATTCGAGAAGCATTTTTTTCGTCCAGTATGAATGATTTCTATTACTTTTGATGAATAAGTGTGCATACCCACTATAGTTTGATTCTGTTTGTCGGACTGGATGGATATTTGGATCTCAGAATGTGGATATGGGTGTTAGAGTCTTCTCTTCACTCACACCCACCCACATTCACAATCACATACACACCCACCAACATTCAGACTCACACCCTCAAGTTGTACATACGCCTACCTTCCTGGCTAGTTTGTAGTTATTCAATGCGTATGGGGAGCTCAAGAGATAGAGTGCAAGAACTCCGTATTAGCTCGGCTTTCTATCCAGAGCTATAGCTAACATTAGTTGTAGCGAGGATATCTGGTTACTGAACCTACCTCTAGGCAGCATCTCATACCGTAAGGTAGTCAAAAGACAGGAATATTCTTCCAATGACTAAAATAGTTGCAAAAGCAAGCATATTTCAAATCTCATTTCGGTTTTTATTCGTGGATTCGATCAAGCAATAAATGTCCACTAATACACAAGCAAAAACTACGTTGATATTTTGAAACTTGCATGACAAGTATCAAAAGTAAAATACGCACATTGAAAAAAGATGCCATTAAGGAGTTGATTTCTGACTAAAGTCATCTAGTGATTTAAAGAGTACGTCTTCTGTTGGTTTCACCAGACGGTAACATTCATTGCCATTGCGATAAAAAATTATAGTCGGCACTTTTTCGATCTTATATTCACGTGCTACTTCATCGCTGGTTTCTAATACGATGCATTTGAAGAACTCAGTGCCAAATTGCTTCTCATACTTGTGACGTTGTCGCTTGATTGAATGCTCGATGGAGTCCCGTGAAATTTCACTTATAAAATATTTTTTTAAACATGCTCAAGTATTGTCGTCAAATATGTAAACTTACTTAAGATTGAACAGAATCACGATGAGTGTATTCTTGGACGGCGTAAGCTGATTTTTTACGTCTGCTATCGATTCAAGCACTGTCCAAGATCGTTGCATCTTTTCATAGTCTGTCATTTTTCTTTGTGCTGATTGTTATGAGAAGGTGTCGACAATGAGGGGAGGTATGAAAAGTAAACGTTACTGGAAAAAGAAAGTTGTAGAAAGGAAGAAAAAAGTTTTAACTCCATAGAAACTCGCATCGTCACCATCGTCATCACTTGATCGTATAAGTATAAGAAAGCAGACAAACCGAACAGAGAGAAGAAAAATAAATAATTTACAATGAAATAGCAATTGGCAGCATTCAAGATCGAATTTTCAGATTAAAAGGAAGAAAACGGTAAACGTATTTCTATTCTCACGATGTAGAATATATCCTAAAATATCCTATAAAAGTGTCTCCGATATTATCGTCCCTGAAAAAATGTCTTTCAGAATAAATATTCTTGGTGAAAATGCCCTTGACAAATCGTTCCTCGTATGAAAATGTCCCTGATTCTTAAATGTTGTTTTTTAAATATAATGTTACTGGAATCTAGACGATACCGTAATCCAAGTATACGGCGATAGATATTTAAGTTGTTTATATAAAGAACTTATTACTATATGGAATGAATCGAATAAGAACTAAAAAAGCGTGTGGGCATTGGTATGGAGGTGAGTAAAGAGCCTATGCACACCCGTATTTTTAACATTGTCATCGAGCAGTGTTCGTATTCTACTGAGAGAACATTTTAATATTGGAGGACATTTTTTCGGAGGATCATACTACTAAGAACCGTATCACAAGTACATTTTCACTAAGAACATTTACTCTGAAGGACACTTTTTCAAGGACAAAAGGTCAAAGACATATCATCAAGAATATTTTCTAAAAGACATCCTAGACTGTTGCTGCCATGTGATTTTCATTATAATGTCAAGTTTACTCTGGAGTTGTCTTTTCAGATACTTTTTATAATGAGCAGCGTTCCTTTACCGCAAAAAGAACAGGATCATCTCTGGATAGAGCTCGTGCATCAAGCAACTAACCAGCAAAACGGACGACTCTTTGGTTCGACATGCA